ATTTAGTTATCATGACATGGATAAAAAAACATCATTATTTTTATATTAAAAACACTACGATAAATGATATATCTCCTTGTGGGTAGAAGGTATCACTTATCGTTGATTATTTTAATGCTACGATAATGATCGTTGTTGATTTTATCTTTCCCAAAGAAGATGAATTGAGTTTTGAAAATTGAATTTTGGAAAAGTATGTGTAGGTTCTAAATCTCCTACGATAGCAAGCCTTCGTAGTTAATTAAAATCATTTAGACCCTTAAAGGGTCATTGGGTCAACATAGGTTGACTTGGTCAACCAAGTTAACTCAGGAGCTGGAAATGGGCTCAATAAGTTTGAAATGTTATTTGGAGTTGAATGGAAGTTGTTTCATCCAAAAAATAGGATCATTTGATTTAAAATTATTATTCACACCCCTAACGGGCATTTTAGTCATTTTGGGTTGACCTGGTTAATCAGGATTGACCAGGGTCTGGGTTTGATTCCTACACACTCCTAATGAGGTTTAGGATGCATTGAAGAAGGTTTTGAGGTTTGATTTGAAAATGCCACATTGAAGTCTATAGAAAACTTCAAAATTACTTTTAAGGGACATATTAGTCATTTTGATCCATAGTCAACTGGGGGTCAAAGTGGATCCACCTAAATGTAGTTTAATGCTTAATGCATCATAATCAAGGGTTTGAATGTGATCCTATGGTCTGGGTAGATCTGGGATCTGGATTGGTCCCAGTGACCGCATATAAAAATGAAGTCAATATGCGGTTGGTCCAATAGTACAATACGATTTGTCTTGATCAATTAATCTAAATTTGATCAACTAATTATAAGATTAGAATAAATAAGATTTGATTATATCATACAATACTATGTGTATCATATAGTATGATTATTACAAATTTTGAATTTAATAATATTGCCTAAAATATGTTTAGCGGCTAAGATCTTGATTTCTATTCATCGTCCTGTATGATATAAAATGTGCAATACAATTAGTAACAATTAATACAAAATAGTAATTATACCAATTAGATGTCATAATAATTTTTTGAATAACAGATCGTCCAGTACGATTAGTTAAAAAAAAAACACACTTCTAATTTCTCACTCCCTTATGTATGTACACAATCACCAAGTTTAACATCCAACAAGTGAGCATCCACTAAATACAAGACTTTGACTCAAGAAAAGTAGAATTAAATAAAAGTAAAAATATAGACTCTTATAGAATCTTAAACTTATTCTACCCAATTTTGTGTTGATCACTTTGTATGGTATACGATGAACCTGAAATATTAACATACAAGAAAAAAATCTAATAATAATAATAATAATAATAATAATAATAGGAGATGACATAAATACAATCTAATAATATTTTTTAAAATCAAAATCACAAGAGCGAGGTCTAGATTTGTAACAATAATAGTAATACTGTGAAAGCCCTTTATTTTTTTTAAGAATTTTTTTGACCAAGAGCAGTTAATAATTATTTCAGGAGTCATTATAAGTCGAAATCACAATCAGTCTTAGCCAGAACATTTATAGTGTAGTGCTTTAATTACTCTAAATTTTCATAATTTTTAGGCAGTGTTTAAATTTCTTAAGAAATTGGCACATGTCGGTATAAATGGAGTTTTTGGGACTGTCGTGCGTGCGTTTTAAGAACTGATTTCATCATAATTTTTTAAATAAAATGAGTTAATTTATGATTTTTTCTATAATTTTTAAATATAAAGATATAAAAGAATTTAGATAAAATTAATATTTTAATATAAGATCTAACTTCACTCATCTACTATATTAAAATTCCATTTAATTTTTAAGCCAAATAGTTTAACAGAGAGGTGCTTAAGGGATTAAGGGAAAAAGAGAGGAGAGAGAAAGATAAAACACTAGTTTTAGGCGACATCAGACCTTTTTTGTCCGTTGGTCCAACTCGGAAACTTTTTCGTCTCGAGATAAGTCACATTATACCAATCTCAATGTTTAAAAATACATAATTTTTAATAATTTTTTAGATTAAAATTATTTTTTGTTAGTAAAAAACAAGGATAACTTTGCAATGGTAAAATTTTCACACCGTAAGTTTTTATATGTTATAGGATTACGATTATGCACATTTTGAATATTTTAAAAAAAAATTACCACTGGGATTTTGAAATTTGTGAGGTTTTTATTGAATATAAAATTATCTGGATGTTAAAAAATAATGGCGCAGTACAATAAAAATCTTAAAATGTCATTTTACATAATCCCTAATAATTTGATAATTTTTTAAAAATATTTTTTTGCATAGTAGGATTTTTATATTATCTACCATTATATTATAATATAAAATTTTGATACATGCTCAATTAATCTTTAATTATTGTAATATGATGATATATGTATATATGTATTTATTATTATCTGCTGGGAGCCATAAGGAGCCATATTCATTTGAGATTATGTTTATGTCAAGGAATTACTGGAGTTATAAGAGGTCATAATGATTTGAGATTATGTTTGAGATAGAGATATGTTATATATTCTAATGTTATAAGCACAAACAAAAAGGGTGTCATAAGGGGTCAAAATCATTTGAGGATATGTCTGAGTATGGGAAATATAATATGAACTATTTTGTGATATGAATTTCAATTTATTTACTTGTTTAGTATTGTTATTTAAATTAGTGAATAATTATTATGTATTTATTATATCTCTCAATATATTGATTTATTTAAATTGCATTTAATTGCTTTTAAATGTTTAGTAAAAATATTTAAAAAATTAGATTAATTTGTGTGGCTTGCTAAGCCATTGTTAGCTCACTGTGGTTTTGCTTCTGATTTTTAGGATCTGAGAAGGGGAAGGAGATTGTTGACTAGAAGTTCAGGATCAGATATGAGATTATAAGTATTTTACTATTTTGATTTTTTTTTGTAGAGTTATGTCTATTTAAATTTAGTTTATGTAGCTCTTGCATATATCTATGTATTGTAGTGTAGAAATTTATTTTAATGAAATAAAAAAAACTTGGTGGATGAGTTTATTTTTAAATATTTGGATGTTTTGTAGTTCAATAGTCTATATTTTGTATTAGTGAATATTGGTAGAAAAATTGAAATAATTTCAAAACTAGATCTTGTGATTTGCATGTCACATCTCAACACAATATGACCTGTCCTGATTAAGTTAGATTATGACAAGTACTAGTACCCGTATTCAGTAATAATAATTGGTATCAGAAATCAATGTTCATCATATCAGTATTCTTACAATATCAATAATAATAAAATCAGTATTTGTATTCAGTAATCAATAATTAGTAACATAAATCGATATTTGTCATATCAGTATTTGTATAATATCGATAATAGTAGTATCAATATCCATATTTAGTAATCGGTAATCAATAATCAGTGTTCCTCATATTAGTTTAAACATAATATCGGTAATAATAATATCATTATTCATACTCAATAATTAGTATTGTTTGTATTAGATACTCACATTAGTGTATGTTGATCATGCTTCTGCCTTTTTAGTTCTCAATCAGTAAACTTCTTATAACTCTCAATCAGTGATCACATGAAATAGTCTCCCTGGCTCCTTATGACTCCCAATCAGTCTCCAGCTCCTTATGACTCCCATTAGTGAATCAATGAATTTTGAGGCTATCACTTGGGGTTCTCATATTATGTATATCTGATAACAATCATTACAACCATTCAGTCAGATCAGCATTACATTCTATTTCACATCAATCTTATTAATCATTTAAACATATATTATATTTTAGTATTATCATATTAAATCACAATGCATCACTTTCAACCCATTTTCAATACACATTTTCCCTGCTCATTTCATGGAAATATTCATATACAAATTCATAATAGGTGAAAATATAATAAAATCACATCATATTATTCATAATGATAAAATCTAAATCATATCAAAAGTTATATAGTGAAAGCTCACAAAGTCAAGAGACAATATATTTTTTAGCAGATTTGGAAGAGATAAAATTTGTGGAAATCAAAACCATTGAAAATAAAAGTAAGATGATAATTACTTACCATGAATGGAATAAGTTTTGTAACATGAACGATGGATAAAAATGACTAAAACCTATTTTCTCTCTTCCTTCTCTCCTCTTCCTCTCCCTTCTCATACTTTCATTCTCCCGTATCTTCCCAGCCAAGCCATGTCATAGTGCTCTAGCCTAAATCCGAAGTTCTGTATGTTGAATCTAAAATCACTATTGAACATAGACTCTAATGTCAAAACGACAATTTCTAGCGTCGCAGTGCTACAGAACTTTACCTTGAGCTTAAGATAAGACAATACTTATGGAAAGAGAGAGAAGTTTAATAAATTTTGGAAATGTAGAACTAAAGTATCCTACACACCCTTCTTCACTCCTTGAGCGAACAAGCTCCAAAAAAATTACGTTGAAGGTTGATCAAGGTTGGGTTTTAGACTAGTTTGATTGTAGATTAATATACTTGTTATTTGACTTGGCCTCGACTCGATAAATAGCATGTAAGCCAAACTCGATGGCTAACGAGCCAAATTCGTGCTTGACCTGACTCAACTCATTAGCTCACGAGCCGACTTATTTAAAAAAATATATAATTAATATAAATATACTTAAATATATTAAAATTAAATATTTTAGGTATAAAATTATTAAAAATATTTAAAAATTATAACTTATTTTTTTATCTTAAATAACTCTCCATTATTTTTATTTAATTTCTTATTTTTATTATTTTATTATAATAATTAATTAAATTATAATAATTTTCTCTTATTCATAATAAATGAGCCTTCTCGTCTCCCTATCAGGTTACACTGCAGGTACAGCTGTAAACTTATTGTGGCAATTGGCACATAAACGATTGATCGATTATCATATAAAAAACGGCCACGATGATTATCCGCATGAAGTTACCATACGGGAAGACGCATATTTACTGTAGCTAGTTCATTAACCGTGTTTGTTTACATTTTCATCTCTGTGCCTGCTTCTTCGCAGTTACAACCTCCAACCTTCTCTTTCGTTCGATATTCAAGCCGGCGGAGGCTGAGTGCTATTACCGGTGGCGATGTATCTCCGGCCGTCATCTCGAACTGAGGTGAGGAAGAAGGGGTACAAAACTGGGGTGGACGTTGAAGATGCGAGGAGAAGGAGGGAGGACAATTTGGTCGAGATTAGGAAGAACAAGAGAGAGGATAATCTCCTGAAGAAGAGAAGGGAAGCGCTCCTCAAAACGGGCCAGGAGCTCAATCCTGCCTCCCATGGCCTCCCTGCGATGGACAAGAAGGTCTTTGTGTGCGCCGTGTTATATGTTCATATTGCAATCTGATCGTTTAAACCCCCCATTGTTGTTGTTTTGACTTGAAAATTGGAATTGAGCGCTGGCGTAGTTAAGAAGTTATGCTTTTTATCATTTTGTTTCCGTGGCGATTAATTTGTTGATTGATGCATTAGGTTTTCACTTCGCGGGTAACTTCCTTTGCTTGGTAATTCGCCTGATTCTTTAGGAAATTGCTATAATTTTACCGGTGTGCTCTTTTAAGTTGTGTAATTGCAATTTCTAATTTTGAAGGTGTGTTAGCTTTAATGAGTCTATACAAGGTTTCCTCTTATCATCTTAAAAGTTGTTGAAAAATTAGAATTGTATATTTGGTTTAGTGACGCATGTATACTCATGCACGTCTATGTAGGTTGGCTAGGGCGAGGATACGGTCAAAGTACCATTTCCCAAAAGAAGTTTTGTCTTACAGAGTAGTCTCTAGCGTGTGGGTAAGTGACCACTCCCCCTCGAAGATCACAATATGTAGACTTATCCTAAAAAGATCAAACCAAGGGTGTAACCTTCTCCGGCAGGCTCCTCCAAAGGACTTGCCTAAGCAAGTTTTGCTCTGAGGAGCACTGGCCCCAACATAGCTTGCCCTTCTACAATAGTTGTTTGCATTCAAGGTCACTGCTTATCGTAGATGTCCTTGATCAAGCTATGGAAAATGCGGATCTATAATGCCCACAGTCACGACTCCACTGATTGAACTACTCACTGGCTCACAACCACTTCAACCTAGGGGACTCACCTCTTGTTCCAAGGGATTCAATTTTCGTTCATGGGGACTCACCTTCACAAACTCGCCCTATATGCCAGGTCCTAAAAACTTGTCTAAGACACTCACTCTCAAAGACTCACCTAAGATACTCACATGAGAGGAGAGGGTCATGCCAAAGATAGAGGTCCACATATATATCATCCAATTTGTACATCCACATGTCTGTGTTAGTTCGTATTGATTGGGTCATGCATTATTTTTTCTATTTGTTATTGGTGTAACCTTTTTTTGTAACCTCCTAACCCTATAAATATGGGGTGAAGAGACATATAATGGACTTGATGCTATGGGGATTACTTATAAAGATATTAGAGCTTTTTCATTACTTTTCATACTCACTTCTCTCACTTGGTTCTCTAGCTCTAACCCTCAAAGGGTCTATTTGGTATTATCCATATAAAAATTTGGCTATAACATCCCCAAAGGTGTAATGAACATGTATTGAATCATAAGTATGCTTATCCATCGTGACTTGATGGAGATGGCAGAGAGAATTATCAAGATGACAAAAGACTAATTATGCTTATCCGATCGACTTCTTTGTCGCCTCCATTGGAGGGCGATTAGGAGCCACCTCCTTTTTGTTGGGAGGCCTCTCTTTTGGACTCACAGGTGGCTCCTCCACTTTCCTCTTCTTCTCCCCTTCTTTCTCGATAGGGGGTCATCACCAAGGAACTTTAATACAACCACATTCTCAAGGTAGGAATATTTTGGCACCCTGCCTACAAAAATACCCAAAGTTAACTTTAAGGCGAGAAGAACATAAGTCAAAATTCACATTAATGAAAGAAGAGTGAATTGCTTTTATAAAAGGTGTCATAAAGGACTCATGCATTTACATGTTCGTGGACCATCAACAACATCCCCTTCAAGTGGTTGAAAGAGGGGACCACTGCCTTGTCCTTTGTGAAGGGGATATAGCGAGTTGGCACCGCCTAGCCTACTAAATACTCGACGAAGATGAATTTTGTCTCCAGTCCATTATTTTGTTTGTCAGACCACCCATCCTGCAAAGAGAGAATACACTAACGCTTTGAGTTTGGCATGATTTGCGTTGGCATAAGCTCATGGAATTTAAGGATCTCGGCAACTCCAGGTAGAATGGGAGTTGCACGCTGAGCTTAAAGTGATCGTAGGAAATGCATAACTTGTCCTCTTAAAACATATTGAGGTGCTCATCTTCAGTGGGCACTAGGACCACCATGTTGGCATTCTTATAGAAGTACTTACAAAAGATCATATATGCAAACCTCTCAGTCATCCATAAGACTTGGTAATACTCGAACTCATCAAATGCCTTATGGTACCTTCTTAAAGTTGCCATCTCAAGCGGAATAGGAAAATTCATCAACAAAGGCATAAAGCCTACGAATCCTAATCCTTTGTCGATAGCTTGATAGGGTCGACAAGGTTCAATCCATAAATGAAAATGATCTCAAACATCCGCATGGGCCTCGACGAGCATGTTTTGGATATACACGTGACGTCTAGGGATATTGCGCGGGTCAATAAATGAACGTAGTTTGAGCCCGATTCTTCTATATGGATAGATAGGAGTTGACACAGCTCAAATTATCAAACAGATATACTGTTAGGGTGACAACCAGAAGATATGTTTTATACATTCATATAAGGCCTTAATAGCCTATAATTCTATAAACAAAGAAATTCATTAAATAAAATCATATAGCCGACAAACCCGATCCCCTATCGACAAATTAATAGGGTCGACAAGGTTTATTCAATGAAAATGCCTGTACATCCCGATGATGGCCCCGTTGAACGAAAATATCAATTGGAGGGTTTAATTTCAAATACTCAAAATGCCACCCAAATACCTACGAAATTCAAAGCTCCAAAGAATCTAAAAATCATTCTAAAATCTCAATATTTAAAACTAAAATCCAACCATTCAAGTGCTTAAAGTAAGATCAATCCATCCTCCGCAACAGTTTATCGGGGTGGACAGATTAAAATTTACTTCAGCTCACATATAGCTAATGTCTAGTCAAAAATATTACTAGGATCCATTCTCAAATAATCTCCTGCCAGTAAGGACGTGGAATATGTCATCTGTTCGACAGTTTTGCCGCCAAATAACATCGCAGAATAAACGGTTATGACCCGGGGCCCTCTGAACCAAGTGGTTTTGTTGTCAAATGACACCACAAGATAATGTTTATGGCCAGAGCCAATACGTTCCTTAGTGACATCAAATCCTTGAGATATGAATCAATAAGATATGATCGATAAGGCACAAAGCCCTCTGTTAGCTAAAGTGGATTCAAATTTATCCCCTTAGACAAACATCCACCCAGGTCTACAAGATACCCTTGAACGAAGCAACCCATGGCTGCCAACAAGGATCCTTCTGTCAGGTTGGGTCGACTACTTCCTTTGACTAAGTAGACTGGGACCATGATGGTCCGGGATAACAGAACTATGGGATCTTGATCGGGTCTATCATCCATTCATCCACCATCTGCTTTAAGTGCAAGATGGTGTAATTTTCAATTTTAAATATTAAAATTTTCAATAAATATTCAAATTCCAAATGCCTATGCTGCTACTATATGCCATATACCGCGTATCTACGGGTACGACGTATTCATCGACGACTAGCCTTAATTGAAAGTTCTCTCTTGTTATCGGGAGGGGTAATTAACTATAGGGGCTTGCTCTTGTAGGAAATCAGAACTCAAATCATATAGTCCTTGCAAAATGAGGGCGAAATCTCTGGGTAGTGTCTTATCTACAAATCCATCTAACTTCCAAAAATTTACCCAGGAACTGAATACGTTAAAACACCCCCGAAGAAAAGAAGCAGGCGGAGCATGGGGCCGAATTTTAGGAGCCCACATCAATGTATACATAAAATCAAATGGTCCGTTGTGAGAAAGTGAACAAGAAACTAAAACAAAGAAAACACAACTTGCCAAAAGAGTATGCAAACACTTATAAAATTTTTATTACTTAGAATTTTTTACACTTGCATTACATTTTCCATTTAATAGGATGAGCTAGGGATGTCAATATTTGACACCACCTGAAAATCCGACTCGAACCCGACTTAAAAATTTCAGGTTCATGTTGATCCGAATCGGGTCGGGTTCGAGATTTCAACCCATTTGTAAAACTGGGTCAGGTTTGGGTTGACTCGAAAACTTGAAAATGACTCGAAACTACCTGCGCTGCCTGAGCTGACCAGCCTGCCTACCGCGCTGACCTGCCCGACCGCGTTGCATCGAGGCGAGACTCCCGCATCACTTTGCGTCCTCGCACCGCTGTCCCGCTTCAGCCATTAGGTGTCACATCGTATCCCCGCTGCTAGCCGTGCTGACCCGCTTGCCAGCAGAGCTGACTAGTGCTACCGCTAGCCCGTCGCTGCCGCACTGCTATTGCCGATTCGAATCAGAAGCACGTTGACCCGTTGTTTGTTGTGTTCGCGGGTCTGGTCGGGTTGACCCGAACCCAAAATGGGTGAGGTTCGGTATGAAAAACTGACCCGTTTCCTAAAATGGGTCGTGTTCAAGTTGACTCGAATAGTGCCGATCAGTTTCGGCGTTGACCCGAACTCGACCCGTGATCCGAAATTGACACCACTAGGATGAGCTCATTCTTCCCTCAACACCAACTTAGCAAATGATATAGTAGCAATTTGGGAGGCATCATTCTTCTCTCTATTGTCATAGGATGAAGCGCCTGCTAGTTAGGAACTAACTTAATCGCAACAGCTCCAGTAGCCGGCGAGTCGCTATCACTTTTACTCTAAGCTCTAGCAACTTGCGCCATAGAGGCCTCGCTTGCTGAGCTTTCCCTCTTCAAGGCTTCGATTCTTTTCTTAGATTCAGTTTGGCGCGGGCAAGCTCCTTCTCAATGGTATGGAGTGCGTACTCTTTTGGTAAGAGCATTTGGAGAAGGTGGCCCAGAATGGGGACTTTGAAACTTTAGCTACCAACAAGAGGAGAAGCCTCATGAGTTGCTGGAGTCGTCAAAAGCAGGGTAGTGGGGAGTTCTTAGGCTGGGGATGACGACACATGCTCATCCCCTGAGGCGTTGATAGTCATTGTCTCTCACTGAGCTTCTATGGTGGTTGGTGCGTACTGATCTATTGTGCCCGACACTTATGGGGTTGCTCTTGTGGTATAAAGGGAAGGACTAGGGATGAGTAATTTTTTATCCAAGATAATGGAATTTCTTCATGAAGTTCTACGGTCCTCTATATATCCATTGACAAGTCAATGTCGTCACCTCAAACTCATTCGATAGGTGACCTAAGAACTCACATGAGGTCAAGTGGATTCTTGACTTGCTTGTGGTCGGTGGCATTTGACCTCTAGACATAATTCTTTCAAAAATTGAAAATGAAGTCTTCTTACCTCCATTAGTAAGCCCATGATTGCCTGAGCTCCTCTAGCACTTATGTTAGTGTCTTACAATACGTTTGCAATGAGTTTTTAATGATTTTTTAATAAAAGCATTAAGCAAATGTGTGATAGTTCATGCATGAAAAAAATTATAATGTTTTTCAAAATTTGAAGTTTTGTAGAAAGGCTTATGCATAGTGTTCAGAGAATTGTAGCTTAATTAATTCTCAGTTTCTTGTGTAATACCTTTAATGAAATGGATATTTAATGAAGCATATACTGATGATTCAACGATCCATAGGCAAATGATTCGTGCTACATGACCTTCACACTGAAGAAAATATTTAAAAAGTCATATCTATCTTATTAAAAAGTTCTTTAATTGATCACGTAATTGCTCTATATTCAAGAAATATCTAATATATTTATTCCCTTAGTTGATGTTTCATATCAACCTCATGTTGTTTTTATTATAATTGCAATATTTCATCAAAATATTTTAGCAAGTCCCATTAATTTTATTTAGAATCACAGTTTAATTGATTTCATTTGTGCTAGATATTTTTGTTGTTATTTTAACTGACCATGTTATTATGTCCTACATTTAGAAGGCATTATATTACAAATTTTAGTCGTGATACTTAATCTGATGTAGGATAACTTAGGATCTAGATTTCTAATGTAGATCTAATATGAGATGCAAAAATTATTCATCAAACACATAAAAATTCAAAAGCCATAAACTCTTAATTTTTAACAACTTCTCATTTGATGAAAATTGAAAAACATATTGCAGATCAAATCTTATGAAAATCTAATAGCGTTTTTCTAGAAATAGTGATAAGAAATCAGGATCATGAAAACCACACAATAGGTTTAAAATCCAGGCATTTCTTCAAAGTCAAAATGAAATAAATTTGATCAAAATCTATCACATTTTCAACCAAATAACAAAATATTGAAGGAAGAATTAGAGAAATTTTTTCCTAAAATACATTCATCTTGCTTGTATAAGAAGATAATCGTATTTTTTTGTTCCTGCATTATACCCCTATTTGTAATTACAAAGCTAATTGAAAACTTTCCGTTGCACCAATTACTACAATGCTAACCAACGTGAAAATTAACCACATTCAACCATTAACCACATTCAACCAACGTGAAAATTAACAAAATATTGAGAGGGAAAAAAAAAAAAAAAAAAAAAAAAAAAAAAAACAAAAACATAACAAAAGCAGAGGCCATACAAAATAGAGGAAATAGTTGGAACTGCATGCTAGAAAACCGCAGGTAGGAGAAATTGAGGAAGTCCTCGGAGCTGCACACTGGAAAGCCTTAGAAAGCGATGAAGTTGGAATATGGCCGATGACTTCAAATTTAAAAGATCATACTGAAAAAATGATTTTTTGCATCATTTTCTGTAAATAATTTTTTACGTTTGATAGCATACTAAATAATGTTGCTAATTTAAGAAGTTTTGTTCATAGTCATTTCTAATATGCCAGAATGAAAGAAACATTGTTGACTTTCTTAAGTTTCTTTGGCAAAAATAAAATTATAGCTATACATAGAATTGTTTATATATATATAGATTTAATAAACATTAAAAACTTAGAGCTATGCTTCTACTGTTCCTCACATTCCAATGACTTTAGAGAATAAGTTTTGCAGAGACAGTTGGCATAATTTGTTTATAAAATTCTGTGCTTGTTTTGGTTTAAACTTGTTCAACTTATTCTGATGTTCTCCAGTTGGAAAACATTCCTGCACTGATTCAACAAATATGGGCGGTAGATACTAACATGCAATTGGAAGCTACAACCCAGTTCCGGAAGCTTTTATCAATTGGTGAACATGCATAATTTGAAGTTTTTTTTTTGTTCTTTCTTTTTTGATATCATGGTTGTCTAGATTCTAACAAATCTTTATACTTCATCAAACTTTTAGAGAGGTGTCCACCTATTGAAGAGGTTATCAAGGCAGGTGTTGTTCCCCGGTTAGTGGAATTTCTCTCAAGATCAGATCTTCCACAATTGCAGGTGATATTCCTTGGCAATAAAAGTTCTTAATATATGTGAATCTGTTGCCTTTGTAACTGTATTATTGTTCTAGTTTGAAGCCGCATGGACTTTAACCAATGTGGCTTCTGGGACTTCAGAGCATACAAGAGTTGTCATTGATCATGGAGCTGTTCCGAAATTTGTGCTACTTATGAGTTCTCCAAGTGATGATGTTCGGGAACAGGTTTAACATCATTTTGTTTATAAATTTTTTCTTGTGTCTTTTGTTTCTTTTGTAGAACATGTCCTCATCTTTGAGCAGGCTGTATGGGCATTGGGGAATGTAGCTGGGGATTCATCAAATTTTAGGGACTTTGTTCTTCAGAATGGTGCACTTCTTCCTTTGCTAGCTCTGTTAAATGAAAGGTCAAAAATCTCAATGCTTAGAAATGCGACATGGACCCTATCCAACTTATGTCGTGGCCAACCTCCTGCGCCTTTTGAGCATGTATGGACCATACCTATTTTTCCCCTTCTTTCCAAACTCCTACTTAATTTATCATAGCAATTTCTGATACAGTCTTGTCGATTTAATTAGACTAGAGCTGCACTTCCAGTATTACAACGCCTTATCAATTCGACTGATGAAGAAGTTCTGACAGATGCTTGCTGGGCTCTCTCATATCTGTCTGATGGAAATAACGACAGAATCCAGAGTGTGATTGAGGCAGGAGTCTGCCCAAGGCTTGTTGAACTTCTACTGTATGATACTCAATGCTCATATACCTTTAAAAGGAAATTCCATATATATATTTTTTACTTTGAATAGCAAAGATTATTAACTGTTCATTATTAATTTATATGCTTGCATACTAAAACTGTCAATGGTTGCTTTTACTTAGTTATCCATCTACCACAGTTGTTGTACCTGCTCTTAGGACTGTGGGGAATATTGTCACCGGAGATGATTCTCAGACACAGGTTTGAATCTTGACATGTATAACAATTTGTGTTGCCTACTTTGTGGAGGTATAAAATATTAATACATGGTTTATCAGCTATTACAAGATATCTGGAAATGCTCAGTCACTGCATCTTTTTGGTGGAATTTTTTGTTTAACCCATTGCATTTAGTTTGAAAGAATCAGTTTGGTTTCATTTCATGAAGCTCTATCATCAAAGTAATTTTTGTGTAAGACAATTAATGAAATAATATAGAGACCAAATAAAGCATATTCATTTGCTTTTTATTGACTTTGAGAAAAGATATGATTGAGTATCATGTGAATTAATTTGATTTTCATTCAGATAGGAATAAATCTCAAAGGCACATAGATATTATTAAAGATATATAGGATTGAATATTGATTAGTTTAGTAGTTGCCGAGTGTTTCAAGAGTTCTCAATTAAAATAGGTTTATATTATATTATCATTTAGTCCATAATTAAAGGCATTCAATGCTGATTCACTGTGGACATGTTGTCTCACTCCTTTTTTAGTTGAGTTGTTTTTCCCATTCCTTCTACATTACTCTTTGTTGGTTGGGCTAACCTTCGAACCCTCTTCCTTGATATTGTTACCTTTTGGTGTTGTCATCTTGGCTCCTTGATGTGACAGCATTGACTTTGTCTTGGATGCCTTATTCTCCCCTTAGGTCCTTCTCTTGTAGAAGACCCTTGATCATTGTGACATCAAAATCATTCTCATGAGCAGTTGGCATTGCTGATTATACAGTGCTCAATGAATCTCCTCACCATGGAGTTCTGAAGTTCTTTTCTTAAGGTTTTCTTTAGTAACTTAGATCCCTCGTCTTCCATAGCCTTAAATAGGTTTCTTCATTAATTGGCAAGCTGGATTTTATATTTACTAAGGCTGAGATAACACTGCTTGCTACATTTTGAGTTTTCTTTGGTTGCTTTCTTCCTGTCACCCCAATATGGAAGGTATTTTAATTTTGAGGTTTCTGGGTTTTGTTACCATTCAAAGAATATTCTGATTATGGTTAACCAAGAAGAGGGCTATATATGATTATTCTCCTTTAGATTTTTTTTTTGTGCTGAATTTTTCCCTATGCAACTTCTTAAAAGGATTCCTAATTTTTTGCAAATGAGTAACCTACCATTGTCCCTATTTAGATTTCATTCCCTTATGTATTAACTAAACTTCCTAAACCTTTGCTAGAGTGTTGGCTAAAGTTTACATCACTGCCCCCTTTGATGAAGAGTTACGGATATCTGCGGATTAGGGAGTTTATTGGCAAGAGGTTGTAATGGAAAACAACCCTGATTATTTTCCCACGGGTTGTATGCATGGCCATAACTTTGAGAATTATTTCATCTTAAATTCTCGACCTCAAAAAAATCTGTTGAATTCAGTAGACAAGCTATTGAGGGTAAATCTAGCGTTTTTACTAATAACCTGGAAGTCAATGCTATTAAATCTACTAAATATCAATTAGGTGAAGTTGTTCATCTTGCAAAAAAAATTCCCTCTCAAATACCTTTCATTGAGACTCCCAACCTCCTATTTATAATGAACTCAATAATTTAGTGAAATTAACCCTTATAATGAAGTTGATATAATATTTTTATTTTTGCACTCGTTTTTCTACTGAGCTTGTCTTTGAGGTGTGGGCTTTGAAAATTTGCGCTCAACTCCTCTGAGAGATTTTGTAGTTCCGGATTAAATTTTTATAAGATAGATTGAATTACAAATAAGATACTATCTAGAAATTCGACCTTATTTTGTGAGAACTTTAGGATATAGTTCATGCTTTCCCATACACACAATCCTCTATTGTTAATTATCTTTCCCGTTAATGAGAGAGAACTTTCAATCAATGTTTTAAAAGGTGAAATCAGGAATCAATGCGCAAGCCTCGAGGCGGATCAAAGCGTAAGCCTCAAAACGAAAAAATAAAGTACTTGAAAAATTATAAATAATTTAAAAAAAAACAATATTAAGTAAATTATGAACATAATGATTTGTTTGAAGATAAATATTACTGGAACACAAGATTCAAAATAAACACTCACTTAAAACTTAAACACGCTCGTAGTATCAAGACCCAAGGCAGTCTCATCATCATTTTGACTGTATTTAAACGAATTCTTTTAATTTATGTCAAAGTCATCTTCAAAATCTTCTTTATCTATAATATTTATTTCCTTATCCCCTATATCAGTTTACATTTCATTAGTTGTATTCTAGTATGAAATAATAAATTAATAACATAAAAAATAATTCATTATAGAATATTTTTGAATTTTTTTGAAGCTCCGATTCTACTTTGTTTCTTTCTTTTATATACTTAGGAAGTAGAAGACTCCAATATAGTAGACTTTTTGATATCTTCTCTGATTGCTTCATTGTCTTCATTTACATGAGTTTTTCCTTCAGCTTCAACTTCAAGAACATCAACACCCTTAGGAGTAACCCATTAATATATATATATATATATATATAAGTAGGGTGAGGCATACCGCCTCACGCCAGCAAGGTGAGGCGCTTCTCAAGGCTGGCCTTAGCCAAGTTGAGGCGCAAGCCTCATAAAAAGGTTCGAAGCATAAGCCTCGAGACATTTTTCAGTGGAATTGCGCAAAGGCAGGATTCAAAGCGAGCCTCATATTTCGCAATTTTAAACAATGGTTTAGTGATCAGCTAGGATTCGATGAAGAGATCGCCAATGTTGGGTTGCTAAGTTGGGAGGTTTGGAGGTGGTGGTTGGAGGATTGGTTTGCTGGAGTGGTGGTTGTAAAAGTGGTTAAGGGAGAGAGTGAGGGTTGTTGCATTTGAATAGGAGTTTAATTTTTTTTTGGGGAGAAGCATGATACATGGGATCTTACTGGTGACTGGGGAGAGGGAAATGACATTGCCAAATGGAGGTAGAGGAGTCACTGGTTTAAAGTTTGGATGGGGTTGCAATGAGAAGCTTGCACGGTATTTGCTGATGAGGAGAAAATAAAAGAGAGAGAAAGAGAGAAGCGCAAGCAAAGGGATGGGGAGGGATAATGAGCTCGACAATCATTAAAGAGGGAGAGATGCACATGAAGTTATGGGTTCGGCGGGTGTGGAGGCAAAGCCAACAAGTAAGGCTAAGGAGAGAGAGTGCCAGTATAGGAGGAAGCCTGTGAAAGTAGTGACATGTGGATAGGAGATCTCGAGAGGGCGAGATGGGCGAGGACTTTGTGTGTGAGGGAGAGTTTTGAGTGAGAGAGAGAGTGTGCGAGTGAGAGTTTTAGATGTAGGATTTTTTGTATTTTTTTATTAAAATGGGAGGGGAGATGGATAGGAGATGAGACCTCAACAGCAAGCAGAATATGGGGAAAGAGGATATATACAGGATTCACTGGATTTTCAGGTATGGGGATAGGGATTGATTTTGGATTTTTTAAATTAATTTTCTTAACTAAATATAATTAATAAAAATGACAAAATAAATGTTTGAATTAGCAACTCGTGTAATCCCTCGTTCCTCATGTGTCTTGAATTATATGCCATTGCTTTATGTAGGATGATTCTTTCCTTTTTGCTTTCATGATCTGATAAGAAAATATGTGCGTCTATCCAAATATTTTTGATATTGAACGCATAGTCTCTTTCGTGAAACGGGCAATTGTTACATGATTTTGCTCAGCATCACATCCCTAGGATGCCATTTCACCACTTGGGGATCTTTCTTTGATAATTTCTACGCTTTGAATATATTGGCGTAATCTTTTTCATGAAATAAGCTATATTTGAGTTGCTTGGAATTTGTGCGATGCATTTTAAACAAAACTTGCACGTTATTATATTCAGTAGTTGTCTTTTTTGCCGTATTTGATCGAATAGATTTATGATTGATATGAAGGTCAACATGAGGATGAGAAAGGGGGGTTTTCATAATTTAAAAAATAGTTATTAAAAAAGAATTTTAATATTTTATTATATTTATAATTATTAATTTTAATTTTTGTTACCAAATAATTAATATAAAAATATAATTAAATTTTAAATTAATTTAAATAAATAAATAATTATTAATTATATTATATTTTAAATTAAATTAAATTAATGTATTCCTCAGCTATATTTCTATTTTTTCTTTTTCTTGATGAATCTCTTTTTGCTAATTTTCTTACTATTTTATTTTTATATTTTGTGGATGCCTTCATTCGACAGATTTACTTGGTCTGCTTTTCCCCTTTTCCACTGTTCGTTGCTCTTTGACTTCAGTTCCGTTGTGTGACAAGTAGAGTTTTGAATGAGAAGCTAAATACCTTCTTCGCCTCCTTCGACGACATTCCTTCATGTTGGATCCAATTATCAAACTTCGTCATTCATATGTTCGATCGGAACTAACGATGATGATGGGAGCTTGCTCGTTGTGAAGGTAGCCATCTTTCTTCCGTTGGCGCGCTTCTTCGACCAAATCGACTGCGATCGATGGAAGCTTGGATAGACTGTGAGATCGACGTTGTGGGACTGTGGGGTTGAAGCGACCACTGCTCTAGGGATGGACTGCACGATCAACGCGATCTACCGTTAGGAGCGTGATCAATGATGCGGGACTGTGGGATGGACTGCAGGCTTGGCTGCGCCTTGAGGATTAGCTAATGGACTAGGTTTGGAGCCCACAGAAATATATCTATATCTATATATATACAGTATTTTTGAAATCATTGGTTGATGAACACCTGGTACCATCAATCTTATCTTTTAACTTTACAAGTGAACCGGAGAAGACTCCTCACCTGAAATTCCTTGAACTCCACTGAAATTCCTTGCCCCTGGGATGCTGCTCACCCAGGTGCATGGCTTCTTACCATTCAAAGCTTCCCACTTGAAAGGATCTATTGCTTCTTTCCTGGCCATGGCAAGGATCATGATTGTTGCTCTTGACATGGATATGTTATTGTCGCTATAGCCACTCAAGCAGGATTACCCTTTGTTACAATTTCTCTGCAAGGTTCTGCAGCTGCTAAACTAGGATATCCAGATCCACTGAGTTCTCGTCCCCTCAGCCTTTCCCAGATATTTGATTAGCTTCAGATTTAGATGCAATTTTTTCCTTAACTGAATAAAAGAAGTTGGTTGGATTTTAATTGACTAAGCCCGATCCCATCCTACTCTCCCGTTTATGCTCAAACAATATCTTGTGAGGCAGCGTTACTAGCCGTTCTATCTTATGAGTAATTCACCTATTATTATAAAGCTAAATTTTGTAAACGTGCGTTACTGCCTGTCTATGATGCACCGACACTTCTCGTCAAAGAGGCGTGCAGTGTCCGACACCGTGTCCGACACGACACTCGTCCGACACTCCTCCGACACGTGTCGGACACCCCGAAAACGTGTCCAATTAAAAAATATTAAATGCAAATTGGACACGCGTGTCCGTCACGCGTATCGTATCTTAAATATTTTATAATTTTTTTTTAAATATAATTTCTCGTATTTTGCGGGATTTAAAGTAAATTTCTTATTTCCTATCCATAACACAAAATCAACGTCCACACTTAATTCCCAATCATCGAATATTCTCATTTTCATTTCTTTTTGGCAGTGAAGATATTTTTACCTCCTCTCTCGGTGACTGATAAAAGGCATCGACACTTGATTCTCGACTTTTGAAATATTAATTGTTGTTTTTGAAACTTACAAAAAAAAAAAAAAGCTAATGTACATGCTCGGTACTGCTCGGTATCGCTAGGTACATGCTCGGAATCGCTAGGTACATGCTCAGTACGGCTAGGTATCGCTAGGTACCGCTTAGTACATGCTCGGCACCGCTAGGTACCTAGTTATCATGAAATTGATTTATTATTGCTTGTCATTTTTAATATAATGTCACCTTAATTTCTATATATTATATTAAAAAATTATTATGCCGTGTCCACGCGGCACCCGTGTCCTATATTTTTAAAAAATGACGTGTCCCGTGTCCGTGTTATGTCGTGTCCGTGTTGACGTGTCCGTGTCAGTGCATCATAGCTGCCTGTAGTCTTAGCTGCCTTCGCCTTTTTATGTTCCTTTTTTTTTCAATTTTCTTTTTGTCACAAGTGATAATGTGAATCATATATGCAGTGCATCATAAATGAAGGGGCACTCCCTTGCCTCTTTCAACTCCTCACGCAAAATTACAAGAAGAGCATCAAGAAGGAGGCATGCTGGGCCATGTCAAATATCACTGCTGGCACCAAACACCAAATACAGGTAAAATAGTTGTTGTCATGATTGCTTTTATGCCCATGATTTTGTTAGTTGAGAAATGCAATTTGATTTATAAGTGTTTGGTCTGATTTGACTCATTTTGGAAGCTTTGTTTTTGTGCTCTATCCTTAATGCAGGCTGTTATTGATGCAAATATTATTAGTCCTTTGGTTCAACTGTTGCAGCATGCTGAATTTGAGATAAAAAAAGAAGTTGCTTGGGCTATATCTAACGCTACATCTGGGGGTACCAATGAACAGATCCAGTTAAGACATTTTCTTTGTTACATTCTCCACATTTTCTAAGCGTAGTAAGTGTAGAAAAATAGTATGGTAGAAAAGTTACTTTCAATTTTATTACTTAATTTTATATTAAATATGAAAGTATATATAGACTTACATAAAAGTTTTCTAATCAAAATAAATTAAAGTTATTGGCAAAAGAAAAAATTCTTAGGAGGGGTCGACTGCTTAAAGAATAAGAGGAGATATATAAATTGTAATCTAAGAGTCATAAGAGGAGAAATCTAATGATCGGGACCTTTAATTTGTGTGTTCAAGTATTCATATCAAGATTGATTAAATTATGGGTCCCACCAATAACTAGCCATGTGTGAAAGAAGGGTCAATGCTTTATTTAGGCACTCGACTATGATTTGGGCCCCACGATCATTCAACACTGTCTTTGAAATTGAATAATAGAAATTTACCATTCTAAATTTGCTTATAATATTTTTGAATGTTGGATTGCAGAATCCTTTGACGAGAATCTCAGCAAGTTGATTTTCTATTGACATATATGCAAGGTTGTGAAAATCGGATCGAACAACGAATGAATAGAAGAGTTTCACACTGAATGATTTAATAAGTAATAATATTATTAAAAATTAAGAAAATTAACATAATAAAGATGTTATCCTCCGTCAACCCATTGACGACGAAATATCTTTCAACCTTGTAGATCGACCAGTGCACATCCTCCCTCTCAAAGATTGGCATCTTCAGTTTCCTCACCCTCGGATCACCTCCGTTCCCTCTGTTCCCTCCATAATTTTCCATTCCCCAAGGGGGTGGTTCCCTCAAGTTCCCCACTCATCTATGTTCATACCCATCTTTCATCAAATTCTCACATTTTCCTTTCAAATTCAGCACCCCTTAGGATCATAAACTCCCCCTCTTTCTAATTTAGCCCTCTTTTGGTCAAAATTCCCTCTTTCCCTTTCAAATTTATCACCCTTCCACTCATGTCCAACCCCCTCACGCCTCCCCACATACCCTCTACCCAGCTCCTCCCTAGGAATAAAGCCCTGGGGGAGGCATTTTTTCTGTTCCTTTCAAAATCTCCATCTCCTGAGCTTCCCTTTGTCTGATTGGTTTAGGCTTTTCCCCACTTCCTTGGCTGTCAATGGCTTCTCTCACCTCCGACATCATTTTTTTGGTTTGGCCCTCAAGCACTTTCTTCAACATCTCCTCCATGATGGAAAATTTCGAATCGAACTTATCATGGGTTGAAATATTTTTCTTTAAATCTGAAACTTGAGTTTGGAGATCTCATATCTCAAATTTCAGATTTCATTTGTCCGATCTCCCATTCCAATACTTCTATCTTTTTTCCCTCCTGTCCCCTTGTCTCCGTTGCCGCCGTTTGAATTTGATTCTCTAATATCTCTTTCACCATTTCATGAAGATCGTAAACTTTGTCTTCCACGGATGAAATTCTATTTTCTACTGTTGCTTTCATTTGGCTCATCTCCCCTTCAAGGCGTTCCTCCAACGCATCAACCTTCATGGTCGTCATCAATACACGGATTTTTTTAGGTTCAAAAAATTTGTATATTGACCCAAAAAAATAGCAAAAATCCCTTCCCCCGGCAAAAAAAACAGCTGTTGAATTTCTCGAAAACAGCCCACAAAAAGTCCCAAAGCCTGCTCTGATACCAATTTGATAGGAAACACTTGAAGATCTCAAGTGAAATCCAACGATCTTGACAAAATCAGCTAGGATACTCAACAAGTAGAGGAAAACTCAAAGAAAAACAACCCACTTTATTGAGAAAAATCAACTAACGGAAGAAAAACAAACAAGATACAAGTGATCCTCAGGAGGATCGATCTCTCCCAATTCTCTAGACACCGCTAGAGCCCAAAAGAAACCTAAACCTAAGAGATCAAAATTTAGCCAAATTTAAGATGCTCTAACCCTAGGAAAACAAATTATTTAATGCATACAAATCAAAAGGAAATCCCTAAACAGTCCCTACATTCAAATTTCCCTCTTAACTCCCTTAACAATCCTTTCTAAACAGCTCATGCACGCCCGGGCATATGTTTTTTGCGTACAGGAGGCAGACATTTCCGCCTATGTTTGCATAATCCGATTCTGTCGGACCGGCTGGACCGGTCCAATGGACGGGTCTAACACAATCTAACCTTAAACACAAATTCATCATATTATATATATCAAGTATCCAAACTAATAATCAGTTGTAAGTTTAAAATCACACTTTATGTTATATATTTAGATATGATTTATACATATGATATAATATAAATATATGAGTATTAACTATATTTATAAATTTTTTAAAAAATATAATAAAAAATTATAAATATAAATATAATTTATAATAAGAATATATAATTTATAAATTTATAATATTAAAAATTTATATTATTAATTCTTATAAAATACATTATAGCATATTTATAATACACATTAAAAAAATTGCATACCAACTAGCCCAAATTTGTTGCCCAACTAATCCAAATAAGCTCAAATTCACATTCTAATTCATATAGTACTCATTCAACTTTTTTACCCCACATCATAGGAGTTTGAAGTAGTTGTCTTTAGTCATTTATAGTGTAAAATACACACTTTTTACTAAACACATTATGTGAGATATGTGAGAAAGCATGTATATATTATGATGTAATTAATCATCATATTTAATAAAAATATTTAAAAAGGTTAAAAGAATTTAACAAAATAAAATATATTGTTTAAAATTTAATCAGAACAAAAATAAAATTTTTTATAGAACCAGTCGGTTCTTTCCAACCTGGATCGGTTCACCGGTTGAACCACCAGTTTTTGCTGGTTCAATCCGGTTTGATTTGAAGCCAGTTTTTAAGTTGGATCGAACCGGCCACTTGATTGATTCATGGTTGAATCGGCCGGTTCGATCCGATTTTTAAAACTATGGTTAAAACATTTTAACATGAGCTACATTCCATTTTTATTAATGTTTTGTTGGAGTCCGGTTGAGCCAAGTTCTACTTCTTAGAAGTTTATATTGCTTTTTTACTCTAGTTGTTTGTGAATAAGAAATTTTCATCATAAATAAGAATTACTCCAAAATGTATTATCTTTTCTTAAATTTTTTGGTCTCTACTACAGCTAGATCTTTACTCTCAAGTTCCACCATCTTATTTATTTATTTATTACCATATATCTGCCAGTAATCCTTGTGTTTCAACTGATTATGCATGTCTCTATAATTTATTCATTCACTTTCTATACCTAATCCGAAATCCCTCTTCTTCTGTAGCTATTTGGCAAGCCAGGGGTGCATAAAGCCATTGTGTGATCTCTTGATCTGCCCTGACCCGAGAATTGTATTAGTTTGCCTGGAGGGCCTGGAGAATTTATTAAATTTAGGCGAGATTGAGAAAGATGCAGGTAGGACTAATGGGATAAACATCTATGCTCGAATCATCGATGAGTGCGAAGGTTTGGATAAAATCGAGAGCCTTCAGGGCCACGATAACGCCGAGATCTATGAAAAGTCTGTGAGGATCCTGGAGAAGTACTGGATCGAAGAGGACGAGGAAGTGACCGCCGGCGAAGCCGGTTTTCAGTTTGGACATGGAGCTCCACCCAATCCACCCCCTGGAGGCTTCAAATTTCCCATCAGATAAGCCTGAAACTCCCATATTTTCAGTTTCAGAGCTTGACTACTATTATGATGTTTACCAGATAGAAAAGCCAGTGTTTTTGGTCTGGCTTCTTATGGTCTATCTCTTAAGGCACTTCTGTTCTTTTCTGTCAGAGTTAATTTGTTATTATACTTGGGCGTTTCTGTTTTGTTCTATTGTGTCTATGAACTTTTTCTCCACTTGCAAGCCAAGTTTTTTTATTTGATCAAACAATGGAAATAATCTCTTTTGCTTCCTGTAAATTTCTGAAGTGCAACAGTATACCTGATTAGTTTCATAATGGCCATTGTGCCTGTGGTTCAGTCCCTGATGAAAATGGTTTGCTTGTCTTAGCTACTCTATTTCATAATATATTTGATCAGTTTGTTCTGAAATGTAAAATTATCTTTCTTTTTTTGTATCATTTTATGTTTCAAATGTTTGACTGAAGTTTATTAGTTGACTGTAGGGGTGAAATGAGTTCGAGCTCGAGCTTATTTATAAGCTCGTCGTCTTAATTTGGGGATGGGGCGACAGTCAACGCAGATAAAATTGTCCGCATCGAACAGTGTATGCGAAAAGTTACGGTGGTGCAGGGACACGCAGGTGCGGTGCACACGACGCGAACACATATTGCAATCAAGAAACCCCTTTTCCAATTCTGGAAACCACAGGAAGCAGTAGGAACATACCTCAGCTGATTTAACAGAAGCAAAACATTCTCGGCAGAGGAGAACGACGCGCCACTGGCTTTCTAAGGTTTTGAGGCAGTCAACGCTGCCATTGATTGGAAAACCGAGCCCGCATCGATGACAAGAAGATAGGCTAGGGGAACGAATGACGGACCACGAAGAAACGATAGGGAGGACGCCTTCGCTTATCAAGCCACCTACCTCCTTCCCTATCGCATCCCCCATGAGAAAGGAAAAGAAGAGGAATGAATCTAAGATTAGGGCTAGCGGAGGTCTAAACCGCTGATCTTATCTTTCCCACCATGAGAGGGTGGGGAGTTAGATTAGGGCACGAGAGGTGTCGAACTTTTCCCTTCCGCCCTTTTTTCGGCCGTGTGCCTTGAGAGAGAGAGAGAGAGATATGTAAGAGTGAAATTTGGAAAGGCGGAAGAAGAGCCATGGCTCTTCGGTTCCATGTGAATTGTTTGAAAATTGACCGGGCAATCAGGAATTAATGTTCGAAGGACGATATTCGATTTTCTTTTAATTTAGAAATATTTGCTGAATTGGAAAATCAATGACAAACTAAACTAAATCAATTATTAACCTTTTATATCAGATATTCAAAATAAATTTAAAATATAAAGATTTAAGTAATTTTTAAATTTAAATTTATGTAACCGTCTAATCAAAAATTAAAAGTTATTAATTAATTAATTAATAGAAGAAATCAGCAAGTGAGTAAGTCAAAGTGGTTCACTGTTTTCCCAATGCTATCATTTTTTATCGATTAGGAGACTCGCTCAAGCTTACAAATTTTTATTGAATCGAGCTTGAGCTTGATAAATGAGTTTGAATCTAGCTCGAGTTCAGTAAAAATTAAATAAGTTTAGCGTGATTTGGTAGATAATAGACTAGATTCAATTTATTTACATCTCTAGTTGACTATATGTTTAAGCATGAAAAAATATATTGAATTATTTATAGAACAGTTCATTCATCTATATAAAGGTGATAAATATATTTTGGGAGATTTATATGAATATCACATAATTTTATGTTAATATAAACAGTTCTTAAATTTATTTTTATGTATAGAATATTAAAGATATGCATGAAACATAATATTATTTAAAGAAAATTAATATTAATGATATTTTTAATTCAATCTAAAGAAATTAATATTAATTATATTTTTAATGAGATTTAAAGAATTGTTATGGTATGCATGTAAATCCGCCATTTATTTTATGACATTATAAACCAAACCTTTGTATGTTAGAAAATTAGTGTAGGATTCTATTCCTACCATTTCAAGCGCTCCAAAGGTCAATACTCGTAATGAAGGGGGTGAAAATGAAAATATATTCAAATGAAATCTCTCTCAAAATCTTGAGAAATTATTTTGTGTGTGGATGCCGAACGTTGTTCAGAGACCAAACAGAATGAGCCCCATCATCTCCTGTTCGGTACCTGGCTCGGTACTACCATCAATAGGCAATAATAGAATGTATTTGTTCGAGGAATGTTAGCTGGTCCTAATATTTTTGGTTGAATTAGTTACAAATTTCTCTCCTTTACAAATTAATCTAAAATTATACAATATTTACAAATTTGGAGATAGTTCAATTAATAAAATTATGTTTTGAGTATTCTAATGTAAAATATAATATGATATGCATCAAATTGTTGGATTTATACTAAGTTTAATAAAATTCAACATATTACATATCACACCAATCCTAACATAAATGAAATGAATTTAAATTCAATCATGACAGAATTTTTTTTTACAACAATATTCTATTAAGAGTCAAATTCTTATTTAAATCTAATAAAAAAAATACCATTTTTAATACTTTATAACCAAATATTTTTATATTTATATCCCCTTATATAAGCATATAAATTTAGATCTTCATAATCTTACGAAGAGGCCGATGAAAATTATAAATCAACAACGGAGTTGAGTATAATTTTGACCATTTACCAGAGGTTAAATTGATTTACCCTAAAAAATAAATCATAAATGATGGATTTAACAATATTTATCTTATAAGTAAATAAATGAGAAAAATAAACGTTAAAATAAATTATTCACCCATTAAATTGAATATGAAAATTGTTGCCTATAAATCCTTTATTTTATCTCCAATATTTATCAAATAAAACAGTACTTATATTTCACGTGCCTAATTAATTCATTCTCTCCACTAAGAGTGTGAGTGAGTCAAGTAGGCTTGCGAGTCAGCTCGAATTTGACTCGTTAATGAGATATTGAGTCTAGCTTATCGAGGTTCTAGTTCAAGCTTTTAATTGAACTCGTATAGTATACGAGTTAGATTTCGAGCTAAGCCCGGCAAGACTAAAAAACTCGTTCAAGCGGCTCGATTGATAAAAATTTTGATCGCACAACCCACATGCCCCGTATCACTACTCCGCTCCCATTTAAGGTCTCACTTTTGATGCCTAGTTTTATTATGCGATTCTTGAGAGCTTGTGTTTTGTGACAGATGCGACCTACGACTGTGCAAGAAAGATATCCTTTCGTGCCCTAGAGCGATGACGAGTGCTTTCTTGGGTAAGAAAATATAAGGAGCTCTATTGTCCAACTTATCCTAAAGGATCGACAATCATTTCATTACTCTGTATGTTTTTGTGCAGTGTTATTTTCTTTGATTCAATTTGAAAATTTTGAACTCTCTATAACTTTACCTAGTTCTATTCTACAATTCTCCTCTATTATCTCATTATGGTGCTTTGCTACTACTAGCTTTCGCTTCTTCTAGTTGCCATTTGATTTTATATCTTTTGAGGTCTATTAAGATTCTATTTTTTGCCTTTAACAATGATGTTGTTCCCTTAATAAGCAGACCTTCTCTCCTTGGAAGGTCGTTTGGCAACCAGGGGAGTGAGGTGCTATGGTGGCTTGTTGTTGCTGACTTGAACATACAACAGGTAATATCAGTAGTCGGTAGGTATTGTTGGTTCTCCCCTGAGTCCCCTCTATGTTTGATCCTGGTTCATGTTGTTGTTGGATTTTCTATATTTTAAGCTATGGTGTCTTGCTTCTACTGACTTGAACATACAACCACTGATTTGAATACATGATCTATTGTCTTGTTGTTCCTGCCTCTTGAATTTCGATTCTAGTTCATCGTTTCGTTAGGTTTTCTAAATTTTAAGGGATTGTGAGATTCTATTCTTTGCCATGAACGATGATGTAATTCTCTTAATAACTAGACCTTCCCTTGAAAGGTCATTTGGCAACCAGGGGAGTAGGGACGCCTGTTGAATTGCTGATTATACCTGATTACTTTTTTTTTTTTTTCTTGTTTTGAGTCCTAGCATTCGTTTTTTTAATGCTATTGAGTTCAAGTTAGTGCATGCATGTTCAATGACTGTATGTTCAAGTTAGTGGATGTATATTGAAGCCTGTGTTTGTATGGTTAAGTCAATGGATTTATGTTCATATTATGGTATTTATATGCTAAAATACTTATTCGCTCTATTTTTTTTTCAGGTTTGTTCCAAAGTTTAATCATCAATGGTTCTAATGAGGAAAGATTTCAAGATTGCTATTTATGGAAATAATTCAAAGATAATCATATAATGAGTTTTGTAATTTGTGAATATTTAGCTATGGCTTTCTTATGTAACATTGTTAAAAGTTGTAATATTTCTAATTACATTTTATAAAATACTGTAAATATATAGATATACTTGAATACTATAATTTTTGTTTGGTTTTACTTTGAGACGATTTCTTAATTTGACAATTATTTTTTCTATTTAAGATTTTAAATTTTATTTCAAAATCATATATCTAGTATCACAACTTCTCGAAAATAAAAATCAGATAAGAAATAGTACTTAATTTTACTTCTTATTTATTAACTTTTATTTTAAATTTCATTTAAATATTTACTTATATTTTTTGAAGTTAAAATCAATAAATTTTAAATCTGTACCAATAAAATTCGAGCTTTATAAAGCAGCCGAGTTTGAGCTTTTTAAAGTAGTCGAGTTCGAGCTTAATATTTTTACAATGAGACGAGTTCGAGCTTAATATTTTTACAATGAGTCGAGTTCAAATTTATTAAATAAACTCGAGCTCAATGTGAGCTAAATGAGCACTACTCGACTCTATTCATTTACACCTTGCTCTCCACCCAGCTCAGCCCCCTAAGCTTGCCCTTCCTCCCCGCAGCCGCCTCCATCCGCTTCTTTACCTCCCTCACCTTCTCCCACTCTCCTCTCTCCCCATAAACCCTAGCAATCAACGCGTACCCTCCCGCTCCCATTTCTTCCTCCACTTCCACCCAGCCCCCAGCCGCTGCCGCCGCCACCGCTGCCGCGGCATCTGGCCCGGCCGGCATCAACTTCGCCATCGCCTCTGCCTCCGCTTTCCTCCCGGCTCTCCCGTACAAATCCACCATACATCCAATATGCTCTTTCGAAATCCTGACCTTAAACTCTTTCAACATCGCTCTAAAAACTTTTTCCCCTTCCTCAACCAATCCCCCGTGCACACATGCCGCTAACACGTGCACGAACGTCGTTCCGTCCGGCGCCACCCCTGCCGCCACCATCTGACGGAATTCTTCCGTCGCCGCCGTCCCCCGACCGTTCATCCCCATCGCTCCAATCATCGCGTTCCGCACGGCCACTGAGTAATCTGCAGCGGCGGCGAAGGCCGCCGAAGCTGCGTCGGCGTCGCCGCACCGGCCGTACATGTCGATGAGAGCGGTCGCTAGAATTGTGTCGAGAGGTTCGCCGGATTTCAAGATACGAGCATGGATGGACTCGCCGGAGCGGAGAGAGCAGAGTCTAGCGGATGCTGCGAGCGCCGCTGAGAACGTGAACCGGTTCAGCTTTGGCGCGGCGGCGAAGAGATGCAAGGCGTCGGAGAAGTGACCGTACCGGAGGTATCCCGTGATTATTGCCGTCCAGGTGACGGCATTCCGGTTCTCCGCCGCATCGAAGCACCGGCGAGCCTTGGCGAGCTCGCCGTCTGCGATAAGCCCGCTGATCAACGCCGTGGTGGCTACTGTTGTCCTCTCAGGCATTTTCTCGAACGCGTGGAAGGCTTCAGCGGTTCGTCCGAGTCGCATGCATCCGACGATCAGAGCCGTCCATGAGACGTTGTTCTTGAATGGGATGTCCTCAAACGCTCGCCGCACAGACACGGCGTCGCCGGTGGAGGTGTATCCGCCGACAAGAGCGGTTCCGACGATGGTGTTCGACTTATGGCCGGAGCGGAAAACGGCGACGTGGAGCTGGGCGACGGCGGCGGGTGGTGAGGCGGAGATGATGGTGGAGAGAGTGGAGCTGGTGGGGCGGAAGTTGAGGCGGAGCATGCAGACAAAGCGGCGGAAGGCTTTGAGATGCTCGCCGGCGAGGCGGTGAGCGGCGAGGATGGCGTTCCAGGAGACGATATTGCGGTGAGGCATTTGGTCGAAGAGGTTATTGGCGTGGTCGAGCTGGCCATGGCGGGCGTATGCGGAGATGAGGAGGTTCCAGGAGGTGGTGTTTCGGTGGTGGAGATTGGAGGAGAAGGCGGCGATAGCGTTGGCGAGGTGGCCGTTGCGGAGGTGGGTGGAGATGGCTCCGTTGAGCTCGGCGGCGGTGGAGATGGAGCGCACGGATATCAGATTGGATGAGATCATCGACTGTTGGTTTTACTGCATAGGATGAAAATGGTGATCGGACGGCGGGTAGTCTCCCACTTGTGGTGAAGCCTTCATGTTCGAAATACCAATGGAATCGTGCACTTTTGGACTAAAAATATACTCACACAATATTATATATGTTACAAACATCACCATTTAATATGTTTTAAGTTTTTTAATTAATTATTAGTTTTTTAATGATAAAAGATTTATGAGTGTAGTTTCTATTTTATATAAAAAATATTTAGGCATTCTTCTTTCCTTGTTTTAAAAAACTTGTCGGAAATTTCTGATATAATATTTTTGGTAATGTAGAGTGTCTAGATTGACTTCTGAATAGTATTCGATGACCGCATGTAATAATTTCATCTTCTTTGAATGGTTCTAGAGTCTCCTCAATATTGTGAGGTTTTTGCACTCTATGGCCATCGCCACATTCGCAAAGTTATCAGCAATCAAGAATATAAGTGAAGTCATTTGTGATTTGCAAAATTCCAAGCCTATTGATAGACAAAATCATAGGAGCAACAGCACCACCAAACTTTTATCCCGCTATACTGGGTCGGCTTATCGGGAAATAAGTTTTTTTGGGACATTTAGGCCAATTAAAGCAAATTCATATATACATCGTATATACAAGACTCGAATTCAAGACCTCTTAGTTAATAGTCTAGGCTCTCAACCAAGAGGCTAAAATGAGCTGTGTCACCTTAAATAAATTTAAAATAGATTTTATTGATCCAAAATAGACTCCACAGAAGGAAGAACATTAATTTCTAAACTAACTCCATAATATAAGAGACCCATCTTTAAATAAGAAATTAAATGACATAAAATTTGAAGATAATTATAGTAAAATTTATCTTAATTCAGAATCTAAAGCTCAAATACAAACTAATCTAAAATAAATTCAAAAATCATTCTTATTCTACTGTAATATGAATTTTAATCCAACAATCTAGCTTCAGGGAGTTACTTGCTCCCTTATGATGACAGATCGACCACCTGATTACCCATATGAACTCCTGACAACATCCTCTTTAGATTTCTATGTAAAAATCAACATCACTAACAGCCTTCATAAAAATATTTGGATTGTTAAAATTTTAATGAACATAATTAATTTCTTGATACCTCGATGATTAGATAGATACCCAAATCACATGGGAAAATTATTATAACCATCACTTTATGATTTGATCCCCGACTAAAAAAAATCCCCTCAACTTTAAGTACTACAACAACAACAACAACATCAAGCCTTAATCCCACTACGTGGAATCAGCTACATGAATCCTTTTTCTCCATTCTGTCCGATTAAGAGTCAAATTCTCATTTAGATCTAATAAAAAAAAGATCATTTCTAATATTTTCTAACCAAATCGTTTTAGGTCGACCTCTATATTTCTTAACATAAGTTAAATCTAATACATCTACTCTCCTAACCGGGTCATTAGAAGGCTGCCATTTTATGTGAACCCCTCAACTTTCAGTAAAAAAAAAAAAAAAAACAGAAGATAAATCACTAGCAAACATCAAAAGAATTCCTTCAACAGAAGACGCAGGGTTGCTAAATTGGTTAAGACCATTCTTATTGAATACATAGTAAAAATCAACATTCAAGAACAGAAACCCATAGAGAAAGTGACAGATTGCGAGCCACAAGCTACATAAGTCTGTGAAACCAAGAACACGCGAAACATAAATTGATGATGGATCATAATTTGTAAGCCACAGAAGCCACAAAAATTAAGAACCATGAAACATAGGCAGTCGCAGTTGAAGCAGGGTGATTCAAATAAATTCATGTTAGTAGATCTATTAACAGAAGAATCGTAAGCAAACATGGCCATAAGTACTAGCAAATCTCAATCAAATGCAAGCTCTTTTATTAGACATTACCCCACCTCCTTTGAACTTCATCAATTTGAATACTAAAAATTTTAATTGAATTCTCATCTTTTTCAATAGAGTTTTCATACATAACTCATAAATTTCATATCTTTATATAAGGCATAGTTTTGGGCAAACCATGGAGTTTAATAAAGTTATTTAAATACAATTTACTTGTATAAGAGGCTTCAATAGTTTTATTACATAGAATAAAGTGCGCCATACTAAAAAAATGATCTACCATGATAAAAATAGAGGCATATTTCCAAAGGTTTCGTAGGAATCCTATTACAAAATTCAAATTAGCATCTTCTCAAGATTTCCAAGTAACAAACAATGTGTGTATAACCCAATTTCTTTCTTTTCCCTTATTGTTTAGTAAGTTCTACAATATGAGACTATTCAACCAACATCTCTTTTTAAAGAACGTAAGATAACTTCTTTAGAAAATATCTAGTGTCTTTAATATCAAAGAACTTGTACAATTGCATATAACTCTCTTTAACACTTACAATATCTTTGCTTAGCAACATTAATATTTCACTAAAATAAGCAATATGACACCCCTTGCCTATACTAGAAGCAGCACAATAAACATCAAATATCCTTTCTTTCATCCAATGTGGGTATAAAAAACCAAATCTTTGATGATAATGTTATTTATTACTCCACTATCAACACATATTCCTGAACTTCCACTTTATACAAGAACTATAAAAAGACTTGTACTCTCACTAATAAATCTTTTTTACAGCAACCCTATCTTTTAAATTCTTCATATTCCATTGATTTCATCTTAAAGTGATTAATCCTAATGTGGAAAATAAGACAAAGAAGATCTAGGAATCAAATCAATGCATGTCATATTCTTAAAGATAATGGAAATTTATTAGAATAAATTCTTTTAGATAAGAAAATACTTGGCCAATAGGGTTAAATTTCAAAATAGTTCCTCGACTATTTGTATATGATCATTTTAGTCCCAAAGTATAATGTTGCTCCAATTTAGTCCCACGCATATACAAAATTGATAAAAATATAATCCCTTTGGGATTATATTGAGATCAATTTTACAAAATTGGGGGACTAAATTAATGTCAATTTTATATCACAATACAATATGAGGAACTATTTTGGATCAATTTTGTATAGTTGAGAGGACTAAATTGGGGCAGTGTCAAACTCTCGAACTAAATTGTCCATCATGAATAGTATCGGGACTATTTTTGTATTTTTTCTGTTGGCCAACATATTCAAGTATGTATTCACATTCTTAGTAAAAACATCCTTCATATCTATAAAAATCAAATTATAAATTAATCCTTCTTTGTTGAGACTCTTCTTTTTAAAAGCATGTTGATTTAAAATATATAACAGTTCCTTTAGTCCATTAGTAGCATTAGATTCTTTTACAAATGCACATGTAATTCCAAGTTTAGTAGATTTTAAAACTATTCTCTTCTCATTTCTTTTGAACACATAAGAATTAGATTTCTAAAATATTCAATTAAATCACATACCATGATGACCCCAAAATAATGTATCACATACATAGGCAAAATATCAAACAAAATTTATCACTATATCTTACAAGTTAAATAGGCACTAAACATCTTTGTGTTCAAATCAAGTTTTATGGACCCATGCTATTTTACATGATTGTAATTTTTTTCTCCAATGAGATTTAACATTAAGCATGGCAATAATACACCACATAGCATTTAAATACTTTTCTATCAAAGCATCTTCATGATAACTTATTTCATCATCAAATTTATGAATATAATCTCCCTTATTAATTTCATTTTCATCTTCTTCCACATGAATGTATAAATTCCTATTAGAAAATTCATTTGCATCATCGTTAAGGTTAACGAAACTTATAACAAGCTTTCACAAAAAATTGAAAACAACATGCAATAGCAAAAGAGTTTCCTTCATTGTCGTTATCAACAATATGATAGGAAACACTTATAGATCCCAAGTATTTCCTGACAATCTTCATAAAAGAGCGAGAATCCTCCACAAAAATCAACACAAAATTATGAAAACAGTAGATAATTTGTATTATTTGATGAAAGGGAAACGGAAAATAGCAAGATACAATTGATCCTCTATTTGAGAGAAGGATCGATCTCTCCCAAATCTCTAGGCGCCGCTAGATCCCAAAGAAAAAGCTAAATCTAGGAGATATCAAATTTCAGCCAAATTCAACTCCCTAACCCTAGGAAAACAAACTATTTAATGCATATAAATCAAAAGTAAATCCCTAAACAGTCCCTACATTCAAATTCCCTCCTAAACTCCCTTTAAAAACCCTTCCAAAACTGCCCGGTTAGTGCTTGCGGTGCGATAAGCATACATGAGAGGCGGACGTTTCCGCCTTGGTTCCGCCTGGGCTGGTCCAATATGGACCAGCTGGACCAGTCTAACACAATAATATTGTTTCCTTAAGATGTAGTAGGTGTAGTAGATTGAGTTTTACTGTTTTTGACAAAAAGACATATTTCCAATATATATAATTCCTCAAGTCTATTCATATTTTAGTAAATTTTTGTTCATTATTTTAATTCATTTAATTCATCGAGCAATAGATATCAATATGATACCGACAGATAATTTTTTTTTTTTAAGTAATTCTTTCATTTCAACCAAAGTTACAATTTCTCTCTGAGTCTTTTCCACACTCATCTAATATATTTTAGTTTGCCCAGTTATAATTAATTTAGCAAATCTTATTGAAATTCATCCGACAAAAATTATCATTCTATAACCTTAATAGAAAAAAACCTTAAGATCTACTTTTCCATGAAATATAAATGATCTAGTAATTTACTTTCTTATTTATATCATTTAAATCATATAATTAATTTTGCAATTATCATAGGATTTATTATTATACACTCTATAAAGTTTATTTTGATTGTCTACCATGATGAGTTTCTTTGTCTCTTAGTAATGATAATACTTAGATGGATGGGATCATCATTAATATTAAAATTTGCTATTTAATTTGATTAATATTCTGGCTCATTTGATCTTTTTTTAGAACAATGGAGTCCATCGACGACCACTTCTCCGTCTACACGTGGATCATTGAAGGCCGTCCACCCACTCCTCCGAATCCGGCTCCCTCCCCGGCGACAAGTCCTCTCAAGATCACTTGCCTATTAGTAGCGTCGCTAAGCCTACTTACGGTTCTCTTCCGCTAGCCACCAACATAAATATGAGTGACGGATCTTAAGGTGAAGGATTTAAATTTTAAATTTGGGGCTTTATTATTCTTAGCCGTTTGCACTACTTATTATTGACATTATTTTGAAGGTCTTCTAATCTCTAAATGTTATTTCTTGTCATTACTTAATTTATCGTCATCTAATTCGTGAACTCAACTTGATTAAGCAACGAGTTTTGGTAGCAAGTTTTGAATCAATACTTCTATTAATTTTCTATGTGCAATTCGCAAGTCATTGCATGATTGTTTCACATCAAAAACAGCAAGAAAACTCCAAAATTTTGGGGGTAAAACAGAAGAAAACAATGATTTTATTGCGAGAATCAAACTAACGGAAGAAGAAAAACAAGATACAGTTAATCCTCAATTCGAGAGGAGGATCAATCTCTCCCAATCCCTAGACAAACTAGGGCCCAAGACACCAAGAACAAAAGACACCAAATCAGCCACAATCATGCATAACCCTAACCCTAATCCCTCATTCCTACTTAAAGCATACAATTAAACATTTAAGCCAAATTGCATATAAGCCCTTGCCGCCTCCTCCTTTGGCTCCAAGCTATTTGAATTTGAATCCTTAGTGGACCCCATCTCCTCAAAGGCGGCACTCACAACGGGGCGGACCAGCTTGGTTCGCCTCTTGTATACGTGAGGCGGCCCATGGCAAGGAGCCAGCTGGACCAGTCTAACAAAAACTTAGCATGAGTTGTAAGACATGGAAATTGCAAAAACAGAACCTCCAAAATGGATGCATTATGACAAAACTGCTATGCTATTCGCAAGTTACCGGAGTGCTACGCAAACAAAGAACTTCTAATGCAGTCAGAGGTAGTTATGGTAGAGGTGAGGTAATGCTTAAAGTTGAAACCGAATCAGTCTGAGGTAGAGAATTGAATTGAATAAGAGAAGTAACTAAACAAAAATCAAAGAGAGCAACCCATTCTCATGGGGAACATCATATGCATAATTCAAAATAAAACTAAAACTAAAACGAATAAAAAATAGTGAAAAAACTATAAAATTAAGTCAAAAGTTAAATTTTCAATTTCTTTTTGTCAATGCAAGAGGTACATGATTTGTAAGTCATCCGGGAATGAGAGGTCAAATGTACTTAAAAATAATGAATGGATCACGTTTAATCCCAATTTGGTTGAAGTTGATTGAGCGTCCTAACTTATTATTAAACCCACAAACGGTACAAATATGACAAACAATTAAAAAAAAATGACAGATATGCTTATGCTTAAATTCTAGGAAAGATAACCAACCCACAAATTAAGGTTAAAGTGCAATGCTGATTTTTCTTAAATCAACCTTCATTCTATTCTGCAATTTCTCTTTCAAATAATAGATTGAAAATCAACAATTATGCCAAAAAGACATTTAAGGAAGAATGGAAAAAATAAGCAATAAGAGGTTTATAGTGTACAACAACAATACCTCTGCAAAAGGAGATATTGTTCACAATGGCAAATTAATCGATCCTTTCCATCTGCTTTGGGCCCCAACCACTCAAATAAACAAAACACACTCACATCTTCAGAAATCATCTATGATGTAGCATTCAGCGAAGTGACAAAGCACAATAGCCTCGGGTACACATCTGAAATATATAAAGAAATAACAGAAGGTACTCAAGAAAAAATATCATACAATTAGCAGAAAAAGAATGCCAATAAAACACAGATGAATATGTGACAATTAACCATAGGAATAATCATATGTATCATTATAATTTTATAATGACAGTACTAAAAATACAAAGAACAAGGAAACAAGAAAAACAATTCAAACACGGTATTTAAAAAGATTATTACAAATTATGTGTTAAGAAGCCTTTCAGAACATTTAAGTATATATCCACTATTCTTTTGAAAAGACATTATGTCCTTAAAATTTGTGGATCTTTTCAAGAGATCATATCTCTAGGTTCTCCAAAGGGACATGAACGGTAAGATTATGACTCAATATGACAAAAGGTGAGGACTGAGAAGCACAATGACTTTGAGAGAAGAAAGTGGCACTCAAAGTCAATTTGAGTTTAAGCAAATGGTTCAAGTTCCAGTTCGAATTCCAATTCAAGGCATCCGAATAACATTTATAATTGACTTAACATATCATGTAGTTACATGAGTAAAAAATCTATGTTATTTATAGAAGTTTACTAATGCATTTCGCTATGAGCACCATGTAAAATTTTTTTTTTTTCTGAGGGCTCATTTGATTACTTATTTACTTGTAAAAATAAAATATATTCATAAGATGGTGATTTTATTTTCACTCATTATCTGAGCAAAGTGAAATGATTGCTTTTAAAGATTTTGACAAACTTTAGTAAATTCAATATTTTTCAAAACTTGTTTTCTAATTTCAAGCAATCAAATGAGCCTTACTAAGTATATACAAAGAATTTATTTCCTTTCTTTCAAACAAACACAAAAAAGACTAAAATTAATGAAATTAGGAAACAACTCAATGAAGTTACGTTCATCTGATCAAAACTTCATCTGATTTTCTGTAATATTAGTTATTTCAATTGAAGGAAATTAATATAGGATAAATTAATTTAGAATTTATTTTAAGCATTATTTAGATCATTTGATATTTATTTAGTTTTTAGTATATTAGACTTACCTGCAAAAAAGTCAGGAACTCCTTTCATATACAGAGACCTTTGACCTAAGGTTTGGATTATTATGATTGATGATTAAATGAAATTTGGTTTCATCAAACCATAACAGTTGGCTCTTTTTTTCTCTTCTCTTCTCATTTCCTTATCAATCTCTATCTACTCTCTCTCTCCTCAAGTCTTACTTACAGCAAGCGTTCTCTCTTCTTTGTGCTTTTGCTATATTGCTCAATATTAAATTGGTATCAGAGCCAAGTTTTCTTATTATTCACCTTCTTAATTCTACTTGCGGCAACCATGCTTACACCTTATCGTGTCTTCAATGTACTCACCAACATGCATTTAGTTTGCACTGAAAAGAACTCATCCTTCAAGAATAGCACTCACCATTTATATTTTTGCTCTCTTCGTGCAATCACACCTTTTTCTTCATCAATGCTTCAGCTACTTGCACATTCCTTGCACCTCTAACTTGATCGTAGTTCTAACCGCAAACATTCATCACCGCACTTTTTGTAATATCTTCCTTTCTATAAATTTATGCCCCTTCCTAATTGTATTGCAGCTTGCATTATTCCTGACTACAATGCCCATCATTTCATGTCGAGTCCCCTTCTAAAGCAAGAGTTCTCTAGCATCCTCCCCTCACTCTTAAGCCCTATGCAAATCACACTCACTTGCATTCTCTACCATGTCAATCTTATCACGTAACTATGCCTTTTGCATGAGATCACCAACACGTTCTCATATGTTCATAGCGCCAATCCAAGCCACAACTTACTAGTTGTATCTTTTACAGATTATTCGTAAAAACTTGTTGCTCATGTAGAAGTTCAACAATGACAAATGAAATCCTACAGATTATCCTTATGTTTACTCTCAAAACAACCATTGAAAATTGGTTTGAACTACTTTGCATCAGCTTCCGCCAATTTATGGGTGAAAGCTGAGCAAAGGACAATAACTTTTTGTTGTTCACAATAAATTAAACATCATTTTTGCACTAGTTTGACACTAGTAGACCATTATAGAGATCAAAGACTTATTTGATAAATTTACTATGGTAATGGTGTTTTATTCACTCATCTATACGTTACTATCCTTAATTTGAAATTTTATTTTAAATTTATGTTGATTGGTAAATCTCAAGCTATTCTTAGGAATAATGCCTAGAGAAACTCTATAAATTTATGACTTAAGTGTCCATTACAAACCTATCCTAATTTTAATAAGCTTAAGATAATTATCACCACTAAACTTGAGAATAAGTGAACGCCTTATTGAGTATGAGTGTTTGGGAGAGAAGATCTTCAACATTGACTCGAGGCTTAAATTACTTTATCACTATCCTGACACTTTCAAGAACTACATCAACAGATTCATGAATTTAATTTCAATTATTAACATAATAATTTGTTTTATTCTACTTAAGTTGCACATGCTATTAGTTACATTTTTGTTTGTCTAGCATATCTATTTTAACCGATTGCATGTAAGTAATTCATCATGCTATAGTGACCATGGGACTTTATGTAATGAAATAGAACTTATACCCAATAGTACAACAACAATAACAACAAGCCTTTATCCCACTACGTGGGGTCGGCTACATGAATCCTTCTTCTCCATTGTGTCCTATTAAAGGTCAAATTCTCGTTTAAATCTAATAAAGAAATGTCATTCCTAATATTTTCTAACAAAGTCTTTTTAGGTCTGCCTCTACCTTTCTTAACATAAGTCAAAATTCTTAATGACCTTTATCTCCTAACCGGGGGTCATTGGAGAGGCCTCCCGTTTTATGTGAACCAAACCATCTAAGGGCTTAGATCTCTCTGAAGGTCTTATCTCTACTGGACTTACTCCAGACCCTTTCTCACGTATGAGCCATGATTCGTATCCTATTTCTAAGGGTAAAGCCACCATGTCCACCCTGAGCTCCTCATCTATGCTTCCTCTTAACGGCCAACATTCAACACCATAAAGCCATTGCAGAACCTCACTACATTTTATTAGATTTTCCCTAAGTTTGGAGGGGTACTTTTCTATCACACACAAGCCGATGTTATTTCCTCCACTTCAACAATCCAACTTGAATTATGGTGATAATATCCCTATCTATTTCACCATGCTCTGAAATAGATTTCAAAGATATCTAAGATGATGTACTCTTTATTAATGACTTGATCGTCCAAAGTCTCAAATCCCCCTCACTAGGTCATTACTACTAAAAGATTACACTTCATATCTTTCGCTTTAAGATCTACTCAAGCAAACCTTTAGTGCTCTAATTGTTGACCTCGCAATAATTCAAGATGTACTTTCAATGCTCTCTCGTCTTGTCTTATCAACAAGAAGAGAACTATCATCCAGATCAAAAGCAGTACACCAAGGTACTATCTGCATACAAATGTCTAGTGAAGGAAATCCAGCTAAAGCAAAAGATATGGCTTAAGGCCGATCCTTGATGTAACCCAACCGAGAAATAGGGAAATACTTGTCCAAACCATGTGTTTGACACAAGTAATAGCTCTGCATACATATCTTTTAATGATTTGAATATAGCATTATTACTCCTTTCTTTCCAGAACTCTCCCATAAGTACTGTCTCCTTAAGGAACTTTTATCATATCTGTTTCTAAATCAATAAATAATCGATATGTTAGATCCTCCTTAATTTTTCTCTATATTTCACCAACAAACCTCTTAATAAATTTGTATGGCTTCACAGGTAGAGCCTACCGGCATGAATCCTAATCTTGATCTTTTGGTAAATATTAGTACATCACGCCGCAACCTATGCTCCATAACTCTCTCTCATAGTTTTAAAGTATGACACATTAATTTAATTCCTCTATAATTCGCACAATCTTGTGCATCACCTTTATTCTTAAAAGTAGGAATTAACACACTCATTCTCCACTCATCTGACATCTTTTTAGTCTTCAAAATAGTATTAAAAAGTTTAGTAAGGCAAGAAATTCCTTCATCTCCTAAGCAATTCCACACATCTATTGCAATATCATCAGGTCCAACAGCTTTTCCACCCTTCATTTTCTTTAAAGCCTCTCTAACTTTGGTTTTACTAATACACCGATAAAAACAAAAATCTTTATTCCTTTAGGATGCTAATGTCACGATTGAGTGTCTAATAACAAAGGATTGCAGGGTACATATTGTTAATAAATGAAATGTGTATCATCACAAAAGTATAAATTCTTACAATCCTCAATATGATGATCAATATATTAAAGCATTTACTGATCAGACACCCACATATTATCATCAAAATGTAAAGCATCAAGCCAACAATAATGTACTTTTGGTAATGTTGTTGAGGGCACTATTGACTACCCCAATCTATGAAAGGCATCGTTTGGCCTAATTTCAGCTAAGGTTTTTTATGTCTCCTGTATTAAAACCCTCAAGTCCCCTTGTAAAAGAGAATAATCACATTAAGGCTATAAGAAGCCATAAGCTTTTTTTTTATCATGAAGATTTGGAAAAAGTTTCTTCATTGCAAGATGATTTTAAAATTGAAACTCCATTTCAATGTGAAGTATAATCTAAGATAGAACCAAAAAGTGTATACTTGCATCTATGTTCACACTTGAAATTTCTTGTGAATTAGAATTAGCCTCCAAACTTAATCCTGGAACTAAACCTAACATTGATTATGATCACCTCCTGCTTGCTAATACTGTTAGTTTAGATGTAATTTTTATTCTCCAACTCTCGAGAAATTATCTGTTGGGATTTCTCATATGCAAGTTAATCAAAACATTAATTTTGTATTTGGTTATGTTATCAAGAATGTCATATAATAGGAAAACCACGTGGACAATAGTGCATTAAAATTGCATATGTGTAGACTTCATATTGATGGATGGCTTCCTTATTGCAATCTTAGGTCCAAAGATTCTTTTAATGTCAATGATAGACCATACCATACTATTTATTAAATAATATGCTTTGATTTATTGTACTTAAAGGAAAAAGCCTATCTTTTTAAAATGCTAATTTTTATTAAGAGAGCTATTTATAATAAATGGGAAGTACCTTGAAATTTTGTTGGTTTTTATCATGAGTTTTTAACCTTTTAACCTAATGAAGTTATCCATTATAATTCCCTTAGAAATCTTATAGAATATAGGCCAACATGCATCTTCTTTTGATTTTATTGTGTTATTTGTAGTTCATTTGCATAAATTTTTTGTTAACATTGAAAATTTAAATGCAATGCATAATGAAGTTTTTATGGCTAGGCCATATGTTTACTATATTTTAGGACCATAATGATGAAAATTACATTTAAGTTTACAACTATCTTACATGTTTTCTACATTTTAATTGCAATATCAAACCAAAAACTCAAAGTTTTATTATATGTTAAGAAATCTAGTACCTATTATGTTTGTTCTTGTTCTACCTTTCAACATAGATATTAATTTGATTTTTCAATGATAAGGTTTGTTACCTTGCAAAGATCTTTCGAGATTTCAAAATTTCTTACAAGTATATTGTGGGAGGAGTGTTGCATCCACCTCAGAAATGTGAATCCAACAATTGTGGCACCAATTCCACTATCATCCACCATTAGATGATTCTTGCGGACCAATAACAAGTTGTAGTTTATCTCTTCTGGGCTTTTGGATGAGTAATTTTGTAGCCCAGGGGAGATTAGTATCTTCATACCCAAATAGAATAGACGAAGACCATCTTAGTAAAACTGCATATGATTGGTAACTTTCCTATATTATTAATTGTTCGTATTTAAGAAAATGAAAGATAAATTGAATTATTTTCAAAATTATTCAGATCATTTGGTATTCATGCAATGTTAAGTTGTTATTGGACTTTCTAATAAAAAAAATGAATGGCTCCCTATAGATAAGGATATCTTTTACCTATTTCTTAGATTATTATGATTTACAATTGAAAGAAATTTGATTTCCTCAAACCCTATTGGACAGATTCTTTTTCTCTCCCCCTCTCTTCCTCTACTTCACAATTTAACACTGTTGGGTTCCTCATTTCAACTCTCATTCTTCTATTCTTTTTACTTCAGCTATATCACTTTGTATCACAACTTCCAATGAACCCATTTATAAGTAAATGTGGATAAAAGAGATAAAGTAATTTACTAGAACAAAATCAAGCATAACAGCACAATATTAAGATGATTTTTATTACACTTTTAAAAACAATTCAAATTCACATTAAATATCTTTACTAAACATAGTATTTCAAATAAACAAGTTGAAGCAAATGATGGTATTTCAAAAAGATGGTTTTTCATTCTCATACCTACAAGTATTATTTTTGAACAAATAGGTCACAGTGCCATTCATGAAAACGCTTGCGAAAGTCCAACACTAAGTCTTCATTTGGCCATGATTTGTTGTGCTGTACAAAGGAAAATGACAGGTACTCTGAAAGATATGGGCGCACTTGCTACCAAGTGTATTTTCCATTGTGCCAAGCTAAGAAGAGAGTGCAACAAGGGAAATAAAGTGTTCATAAAAGGATGTGCTGAAAGCCACAAGGCATATGTTACATTGTTTCCAGTGTATGGATTTCTGTTGAGCTTCTCCCACAAAAATAAAGGGGGTATGACAGGTTTTTGAAAAGCAACGGCTATAAAAAGCACTGAATTAGAACTGCACACCTTGGTCACAAGGAAATAGAGTGCTTCTGAAAGGATGTGCTGAGAACCACAAAGGATAAGCTACATTGTCTCCAACAGAAAAAACCTCCTTCCACACCTTATTCTTTCTACCATATGTCAAAATTTTCCTTTGTGTGGCTAAGAACACTACATCACTACTTAAGCATACAGGAAAAGCACTTGCCGCAAACCCCAAGATGCACCTGAGATGCACTCTATCAATCAGAACCCAATGCTCTCTGTCATAGTCCTTCAGAGCCCATATATACAACCACACACCTAATATCTGAATCAAAGAGACAGTGCCCTCCAATTCCAGAAGATAAATCCTCCCGCAAAACCCAACAGCCACTATCTCCTCAGGCAATGAAATCTTCCTCCAAACATTACTCCTCAAATCAAGCACGAGCACATAAGAGCAGCTGTGTGTAAGCCAATGCAGTGAATTGTTGGAGAAAACAACTTGATTTCTATTCATGTGGGTAAATTCATCATAAAAAGATGAAACAAACCTAGTCCAGGAGTTAGTCTCTGAGTCAAACACCATACAAACAAGTTCCTCATACGGCCTCCGGCCAAATGGCCTGCAAAATCCCGCAACGGCTACATTGAACTTCCATGAACATGTATCAAAAGACAACCCTACGAGGGTCTCCTCGTAGTCAGGGTGGAACCGTGAAAAGGGCCTTTCTCTGGTTCTTGGTAGCAACCTGAATTCTTTTGTCATCGGATTGCAGACATAGAAGACTCCTCGGTTGGGAATACTTGAGCAGCACAAGAGGCCATTGCATGAAGCTCTCACCTTGACTCTATCTTCCAAGAAATTCAACGAGAAGCACGAAGCGGCATCGAATCTGTCGACGCTGAGAAAACTGGGGATGGGATTCGCAGGCTCCATCACTTCCAAGAGTACGATGGGCTTATGCAAGGAGGTCAACGAGTATAGCATGATGAAGTGCTTCTCTGAAGTGAGCCTGTACCATGATCTACAAACGGTTTTGAAGCGGAAAAGAGACTTAACAGGGAGTCTCGCGAGGATTAGGAGGATGACATCGGATGGAAGAACTCCGCTGGGGGGATCCGCGGAGCTCATCGGCTCGCGAGGAGTAACTGAGTAAGAAGATCGGGTTTTGTTTTGCGCTTGGACTCATACAAGGGAAAATAACCCAGGATTGAATTGGGATGAAAGATGGCAGTTTGACAGAATTGGACCTATCATTTGCCGGAATCCGCCATTGACGGTCGGAATGGATCGATCGAGTGAGAATATGGTGAAGGGCCTTCCAGACGAATCAGTTTCCCGATCGATCACAGGGTGGCTCCCATTTGCCAGTAAAAGGAAAAGGCCCTAAACAGTAAACTCCATGATTTTCTCCCATCCCCTTTGTGGGGAAAATTATTTAAATATTCGAGCTTAATAAAAATGTGTCATGTCACCTGATGCCGAGCTATACCGAGCTGCGGTGCGGAACAGTACCGAGCCTCGGTACTGATACCGAATGACATGACCCATTTTCATTGGGCTCGGAATGATGTTCAGCGTCTGTAGATAATAGTTTTTCCCTAGTGGGCCTGAATGTTTGGCTTTCAAAACCGTTTTTTGTTGTGTAATATTTAGGCTAATTAAGACCACTTCAGGCACACATCACTCATACAAGACTCCAATTTAATATCTAGTCAAATCTCTGCAAATCAAGAGAAACTGTGTTCAAATCGGCATCAAGTAGGATTAACTTGTTAAAAAAAAAATATTGATTTTCTCAACTTTTAGAGTAAATTTAACTTTAATGTCTCTTAATATCTACAATTGATATCATATCATGTTTTTTTTAATTTATCTTAAAATTATTTTCGGACTGAAAATTTCTTATTTATAAAAATGTAAGCCGCAACTCTCGAGTCAAGGGATTTTTTTTAAGGTGCATGTTGGTTAATTTAAATTAAGAATAGAAAAAGAGTATTAAAATTTTTTAAAAAGAATCAAATTATCCAAATCATTTGTCACATTCTAAATAATGCACCAAATGATTTGGTGCATTCACACCAGTCAACCGAATTAAATTCTAAAATTAGTGTAGCAATGCACCAAACATTTTGGTGCATTCAATGGAATGTGCCAAACATAATTGTGCATTCCATTGAATGCGTTAAACTATTTGGCTTATTCTAAATATGTCAAATAATTTGGTGCATTTAATGGAATGTACTATTCTGTTTGACTAATTTATTTTATTTTATTTTTTTTAATACTTTGCTCCTATTCATAATTTAAATTAACCACCATGCTCCTACCTAAAAAAATCCCAACTCAAGAGTTACATAAACTTTCAAACAATATATTTGTTTGAATGTCTCTCTTCCTAGCACCTTCAATCTCTAGTGATCTTAGAATTTATGTGATTGGTCTTAGATAAAACTTTATAGCCATATTCTTTATATTTTTGTCATTTTTTTTACTAAATTAGTGGTATTATATATATTTTTATTTTTTTTAGATTTAAATAATATTCATTGCCAATAATTGTATGTTATCATAGGATGGACAATAAAGCAGAACTCTATATTTACTATTTAAAATAAGAACAAAGTAAAAACTTATAATTGTAATTTTGAACAATGATTGTGCACTAAAACTAATCTATCAAACATATTAGATATCATATTAGCTATTACAAATTTACAACTACAGTCGAATAATATTTGGATCTCATTCAAACATATTCAAATCACGCTCAGAATCAATTCAAAGTTTACTTGAATCATGCTCATATATGTTCGAACAAGTTTCAAAAATGGTTCATACCTTATTTGAACTTAACTCAAATATGATTCATGTCATCACCTTTTGTTTTATGCCCACCGTTTTTTATAGGACTTGATTTATTTTGAATTTTTTATTTTACATGCAGATGTTCTCTCTACTATTACATGTAAAGATGTTGTGTAATACTCAGGTCATATATAAAGTTAGGGTTGTGATGGATAAATTTGTTAGATAATGTATTGTTTTGGATAAATTGATCCAAATAATATTTAAAATTTAAATATATTAATAAATATTTTTTATTTCATGCTACATGAATTTATACCACTTAAAGATATTAAATAAAAGCAAATAATAACATTTATAAACACTAAAATACTTCATAACTATATTCACTACAATAAAATTAATATGGAAAAAAATAGACCCCAATAAAATTTTTAACATTTAAATACATTAATGAACATTTTGCATGTCATGCTACATGAATTTATAGCACTTAAGGATATTAAATAAAAACAAATAATAACATTTATATACACTTAATACTTCATAACAATAGTTACTTTATAGATCAATACAAGCTAAAAGCTAGTCATTTACATCAAATAGAATTATAATTATGAAAAAGAAAAAAAAAAAAAAAAAAACATTAGTTGGACCATGCCTCAAATGCAAGGCTTGTGTAAAAATATTTCTCATTATGTAAGACTAAATACAATGACCACCACTTGCAATGCCAAAATCCCTAGGTAGGTATAATATTATAAACTAGTGGAAAGGAGAATCTTAGGTTAACAATGAACCTTATTTTAACCATGATCAAATGTACTTACAAAAGAGGTTCAAACATGATTTGAATGTGGTATGAACCTTGTTCAATTCATGTTCGAATAGGCTTTGAATCATATTCGAACATGGTTCAAAGTAGCTTCTTTATGACTTCAACCTCATGTGTACATCAATATACTCATATAGATTAGTTGAAGTTAGATGAGACTAATATAACAAAAATATTAGAGATTCTTGAGAAGAAGGAAAAATTAATGAAAAATATGCCTTTATTAATGAATTAATAGGTGCATATTATCCTCTAATTTTCTTTTCCCAACAAGTACATCTATTATTGCCTTTAGATTAGCTTTCTCTAAAATAGTCCATCTATATGAGTATGTTTATTTATATATGAAGGTAAAATTGCATAGGATTTGGTTTAAATCATGGTTGATAGATGTTTAAATCTATTCAAAAACAATTTGAATAAGGTTCAAAAGTGGTTCAACCTATGTTTGACTCATTCTAGATGTTTGAACCTTGTTCAAGAATTTCCTTGTTTAAGGGCTCTTCCTTAGAGTGAGGATGGAGAATTCTTTTATTGCATTCTAAAGAACCAAAGTTTGAAATAAAATTGGTGTGATTTTATTAATCATTTTATGATAGGTGCCCTTTGGCTTTTGACATTTTCTCTTAGGTTTTGTCATGCATCTCAAGTTAAAGCTTCTCTAGTGCCCCATAGACTATCTTATTTGATTATAGGATAAGAAAATTATTATAATTTTAAATTGTAAGGATTTTCACATTATTTAAATATTTTCATGATGCCTTTAACACTATATAATCTATTAAAGTTCTATCATAGGATGTTTTGACTATTATACTTGTTAGATAATATATTATTTCATGACATTATAAACCATATAAACAAAGGAATTACACTAAGTAGAATAGAGCAACCTTATGTTATTTTAGTCAAAAGGCTCCTATTTAAAGAGGGAGAGGATGAGATTTATTTCGTTGCATTTTGGAGAAAAGAAAATGTGGTCCAAGTTAGACGTGGATTTAAGCTAAGGGCACCGGCCCCTACTAACTGTATGGTTAATAACTAATTAAGATTATTTATTGCTCCATAATTATTTCCTAAAGCAATTTATTAATATTAGGGTTTTTTCAGCATCCTTAGTCCCGCCTTGCTTCTTTCATAAGCACAAGGACCACGGACCGAAGGCTTATTCTTTTGTGCACGCATGAACTAAAGCAGAACTTCGGTTACTCATTTCTCGCTCAATCGCCCATTCACCCACACCGTCGCTCATCTCTCTCTCTCTCTCTCTCTCTCTCTCTCTCTCTCTCTCTCTCTCTCTCTCACATTAACCAAGCACCCTTTCATTGACATTGAGTTTTACACCCCATGGTAATGGTTACAACATATTAAAGTTTAAATTTTGTCTAATCACTATTAGGTGATTTCTCTCAATTTCTGGTTCTTCGATCCTTTAGGGGTTGTTTGGCAATTTGTAGGATTTAACTTTAGTGGGATTTAGTAAATGATTCTCAGTTGGCTACTTCAGCATATGTGGCTCACACAAGCACTCGGCCTGATCAAATTAAAGAAAAGTAGAAGAAGAATCACTTCACGCCACATATATGAGGGAAAGATGGAGGCGACGCCATCAAAATGACGTAGAAGGGATAGGATTTATAGTCTCCGAAGAATGGAGAACTTACCTACTGATAAGACACACAACGGTACACCGATACTGCCAGCCTTTGATCCTAAATCTATAAGGGACGTTCTGTAAACTCAGTACAGTCGTCCACGACCTAACTAATGCAAGACACCTCAAGGGGACTTATAGCTTAAATCCCACAAGGGATCTAAGCAGCCCCATTCCTGGATTGACCTCCCTGCTCGGAAAGGGATACTAGCTAAACTCCACTTAGCGTATCAAATCAATGTAGTCCGGTCTTATGTAAATGCAAGAGTAGTAGGAATCTCATAAAAGGAAATGGGTATTCAAACCCGACCATGAATGGTACTATGCTTATGCAAAATTAGTTATCCCTATATATTACAAAAGAAAATCTACATGCTGACTCAAGGCTATGCATGTGTAGGTAGGGCCAATCAAGACTGTCCAATAGTCACTATGAAGTGAACAATGCTTATTGTAATTTTAAAAAAATGACCCTTTAAAAAAGTCATGCATTAATTTTTTTTAGAAAGATTGATTGATTTTAATCCTATGTTCACTTTTTATCTTGCTTAAATAAATTTTAACTTTATAGAAAATTTAACATCCTAAAGAGCCTAACATTGACTCCGTCCAAGCTAGACCCAAACAAAGCAATTTAAGAAACCTAAGAAAAAGCATACAGTTCTATTGCGTAATCAAAGTAAACACATCATTATAATGCTAATTATAATGTCCAAAGTCAATGGCAAGCGCCACTTATTATACAACCCATAAATTACTGAAAAGTAAGGGTGGTCGGGCTCCACTAACCACAACCTGTATTCTATCCCTATGAAATGACACAAGTCTTAAAAATGAGGTATTTCTTTCCTTCGAGCTCCTTGTATTGTATCATCCAATAGGATAACCAAATGAGAAGAAATTTCCCTATAAGGGTTTTCTTTTCACTTTGGATCCCTAACACATTAAAAATGCCTCATTTAAAAGCTTTCACAACACTTTAGATAAAATTACATTTTATATATAAAAAAAGAAAATTACATTGATCACCTACAAAAAATATATATTAGCACAATTATAATAAAAATCATATGTCATCCATAACCTAGTCCTTAGGGCCATATTCCCAAGGGCTTTTTAGCATTCCTCGCAGTACCTATT